TACTTGATTCTATTTTTCCCTTTTTCTTTTTTATAGTGTGGATTATGATTCACTAGATTGATTTCTTGACCCACATGGGCCACAATCAACAGCTGAAGACACCAGTGTAGATTTGCCTAGGGTCCACCTGCTCTCCCCTGTGCCACCCAGTATGCTGTCCCGGCTGGTTACTTTCTTAGAGACCGACCAGTGTCTCCTTTTCTGAGGATCCTCCTCATCTGTGCTCCTCCGGCTCTGGAGGCCTCTGGTGCTTGGGATAGCCCTGCTTCCTCTGCTCTGCCACCTGTTCCCATGCCTGTCTCCCTATTACATAGTTGTTCCCTGGACATCAGTCACCAAGTCTGTCTTGTTCACTGCTGTGACCCAGTGCCAGTACCCCAGGGTTTGTTAAACAAAGGAAGTAATGGATCCATCAGTGAATCTCTGGAGCTTAGGCCTAAACACAAAGCTGAGGATGGCTCTGCCTCCCAGCTGGCGCTCAGGCACTGCCATGCTTGTGTCCTTCATTTCGTCAGCTGAGAACTGAGCATGCCCGTCTCCCCGCCCCACAACCGACACTTGAACCAGATGCCCAGTCCAGCTGTACTATCAGCCAGATGTGGGCAGCTTACACAACTCCTCTGAGCTAGTGAGTGGAGACTTAGCCAGAACAGCTCTGGACTGGCAGTTGCCGAGTGCTCCGCCCAGAGTCTGATGCGGAGGAAGCCCTCATCTGTGGCAGTGTGAAGGCCACCTGGCCCACAGAGGGAGGGGTCTGAGTGTACTTACTCTTCAGGCCATCCATGCTGTAGAGCTGCTTTAAGTCTCCTGGGTCCCCTTATTCCCAGGTACCAGAAAGGTCACCAGCCCCACAGGTAGTTCCAGTGACCTGAAAGTTGTGACCAGCTGCTAGGCTGTGGCCACCCAGATGTCCTGGTGGAGGGACATAATAGCTGCGAGAGCCCAGCCAAAGTGTTTCATGACAGACAGCAGCACTTGGGCAGCAGAAGGCAAGGTTGGTACCACTTCACCTCCACCCTCAGGAACCTCACATGCCCCGGAGAAGAGTGTCTTGCCCCTGCTTCCCACCAGCAGGGATGCTGCTGGGCAGTAACCAGGATTGGCAGGGCCCACAAAAGCAGCCACAGTGTTCTTGTGGGCAAAGAATGTGGCCAGGGCATGGGAGGTGTTGCAGTCTGTGGGAAGGACCACAGAAGCTAGCTGTGAGCCCAGTGACAAGGAGGAGCCCTGCTTGGCTCTATCCACAGCCAACTGGGCAGTCACATGAGGGAGGGCATGGGCAAAGGTGAGGTCACAGTCTCAGGGACCCAGTACCCCCACAGTGAAGGTCCCTGTCCCCAACATCAGAAGTGGGAGGGAAGCAGCCCATAGGAAGACACCCCAAAACATTGTGTGTTATTTTTTTAAATTTTTTATTTTTTTTCCCCGTGTTTTAGGGAAGGGTCTATAGGGTGTTCAGAGTCTCACTACTAGATCGGACTCGTAGTGATTCTCCTGTTTACAGCCTCCCAAGAGCTGGGATTACAGGTGTGTGCTACCACGCCCAGTCTCAATTTCTGTCCAAGGGTGGGGTGGGCATGGCAGGCCCAGCCCTTCCTGGGTTATTGTGAGGCAGACACCCCCTCCCCATAATGGTGGAATGGGAGACTTGGGCCCATGATCTCCAAGGATTTCGCCCATGCATGGCCTCCAAGTACCAGCTCCTGGTCTTCTGATGTTCAAAGCCCTGGGCTGAAGTGCAGTCTCAGTACGTGGGCCACAGTAACTCTGTTTCTGTCCCTGTGACCCTGGACCAACCTCTAAGGTTTTTGAACCTGATTTACTGCCTCCGTAAAATCTGGCAGCAAAAGTTACTTCATAGCATTATTATGATGATTAAGGAGCTTCACGTCTGGTACTTAAAATGAAGCTTTTCTTTCTTTTGCCTGTCTGTCTGTCTTTTCTTTCCTTTTGTTTTTAAAGCCTACCTCTTTTATCCTATGACTGTTGCTTCTTCCTTTATTGCACTCTCAGGTAGTCAAATTTTCTTGGTTCCCTCTGAGCCTCCCCTACCTCTTCCCTCCAAGTCCAGTACCATGGCCCTGATTCTACTGGGCTTCACCTGGTTAGACCTCTAACATCATATACACACACAGCGTAAAAGCAGCTGTACCCTCTGGCAGCTCGCTGATTGGATGTGCTCATGGAAATTGTGGCTAAAGGGCATATGATGCACATTCAGGTCCCCTCTCTGATCTCCCCAGTCCTGTTCTATTCATACTATGCAAAGAGAGAAACCTAGGGAAACTGATACAGAGTCGCTAGAAAAATAGGATGCAGCTAATCCCTTGCCCCACTGGACTAAGACATTTGCACCATGTCATTCCATGCTTCATCCTGCTGTTTTGGAGCCTTGATCACCCTGAGGCCTTGCAGCTCTTCCCTGGCCTCTGCCTGCTTCCCTGCTATTGCCGTTCTCCACCACAGGACTCAGCGCCTTTCTTCCCACACTACTTCTGCGGCTGAAAGTCTATGGGGGGGGAGTTACAGGAAGGAATAAGATCCAACCTCACCCTGAGGTAGCTGTAGGGAGGCAGATCCCAGCCAACAGAAGCGCTCACTACAAGCTCAGGCAGTAGGCAGGATTGGGGGACTGTTTGTGGGTGAGGGAAGCCCAGATAAGGCTGTCCAGAGGAGGCACAGCCCTCCCCCCTGCCCTCACCCTGCACCAGGAGTGCAGCTCAGGAGAGTGAGGGAATGCCACCATGTGCCAGGAAGAGTGGCGGGTGTGGAGCAGCTCCTCAGACACTGTGCTATGTGTTGAGGACTGCAAGGGATAACATAAAAGACACCTTAATATCTTCTTTTATAGCCCTTGGGTAGGATTCTGAGGGAGATGAGAATAATCACCCAGGAGAGTTATAAAAACAAAAGTGTGTATGGCATCTTAAATAGGGCTAAGTAGGCATTTACTAAGTGGAATAGTTAGCATCATGATCACTCCAACATCATAGTCTTTGGACTTTTGAGGCTAGGCAGCTGGACTGTAATTTAAAGGTAGCTGGTCAAGGAGGGGGAGGTCTGAGTCTCAGCTCCACACTAGGCCTCAACCATCCCCGTCTAGAAAAGTAACCCTTCACAGGGTGGGCTGGACCTTCGCCTGCAGCCTGTGATACTGTGGTTCTCTCAGCTCAAGGCTCCGTGACTTGGGAAGGTTGATTTTCTGCCCACCTCTAGGCCCTTCCTGCTCCTCTTCTCTGGTGCTCTTATGGGTGCCTGTTCAGCCAGGATGAGGCCCATCCTAGCCCTGACTGAATCCCTTAGCTCAGCTGGATAAGCTCTGGACTCACTGAAAGCTGATCGTTTCCAGACGGGAACACAAGTGTGTGCTGTTGCTGATGGTCACCTCTCCTCTCAGCCTGTCTTGTCAAGGCTCCTGTGATCCACTTTTTTTGTTTTTTGCCTGGTACTCCCAGAGTCCCCAGGAAGATACTTCTTACCTCCACATCTAAAGGAGGAAACTGTGGGCTAATAGTTTCCTAACAGGAGGAAACAACCTGTCTAAGGTCTCACCAAAGTTAAGAACTGGACCTTGCCTTCCAACCTCCCACCCACAAAACAAAAATCCTTTCTTTTGTATTCACATCTAAAACATCAGAGCTAAAAGTTCCATGGAGAAATGAATATCTAAATCAATTCCTCTGTGTCAGGATGAGGAGATTGTGGTGCATAAAGGAAAGGAGGGTGGAGGTCCTCTAGCCATGTAAAACAGCAGCCAGCACCACTGGCCTGAGATCTGGCTGGTCACATAAGTGTCCACAGGAGCTTTGCAGGCAGTGGGCTGCAAGGGCTCACAGAAGCCACAGGTCCATCACAGACCTGCTTTGGGCCAAGGCAGGGGCTGATTTTTACCCCAGTGATGTGGTCTGTGACACAGCGTTCCCACTCATTTCTGTGCCCCAGTTTTCCTGATAGAGCAGGGAGAGCTGGATTCAGATATCTAAGTCTTTAAGGGTCCCTTAGCTCTGTTGTTCTGCATGTCAATAAAAAAATCAAGAAACAGGTGGCTTTTCTCTGTGAAAAGGGACATGTTTCCTCTCCTAACTTTTCTCCAAGAGTGTGAGAGCTTCCAGTGTCTCCAGCTCTGCCCAGTGCAGGTCAGTGTGTCACCTCCTGAGAATGCCACTTGTACTTTTAGACCCTAGAAGATGGGCCCCAAGAATTAGGCACAGGCTTCTTGGCTTACAGGGCTGGCTTCAGGGAGTTAGTCACCTCTCTAGCATAATAACCCAAAGATGAATGTGTCTATAGCTACATTAACAGACAAACAACGAAATTGGGAAGGTGATAGGAACTCACAAGAGGAAAATGGAGGCACTCGGCAGTCCCTGCAGACAACAGTCACCCTCCTGACCTAACCTGGCCCTTTGTCCCTTTCTTCAGGCAAGCACTCACCTGACATGATGAATTCTCAGAGCTGACTCCTATTTCTTTGCAGATTCTAAACTTCTTACACCAAGTCACGCTCTCTGAGTAGATTCCTGCCTGGGGACGCCTATTCTCAGTACAGCCTTCATGCTTACCACCCCAGCTGCTGCGCACTTCCTGAGACTCCTGCCTGGGGAGTGCCTCTTATATGGCCCATTCCCTCCCTCACCCCCTTAGGAGCCTGAGGAAGCCACTTGGAAAATTAGTGCTGTTCAGAAGGAGCCACACGCTGAGAGGAAAGAGGGAAAGGAGGCAGGGGAGAAGATGTCTTCAGCACTGCGGACAGCTCCAGATCAGCGGGTGTTCCCAGGAGGTGGGGAGGAGCACTCAGCAAGCAGCATTATTCATTAAGTGCCATCCCCTGTGTGGGGCACTGCTCAGTCACTCCTCCAAGACAGATATTACTATTATTCTTATTTCAGTGATAAAGTATGGCCCAGAGAGATTACGTACATCTGAACGCAGGGCACAGGCCAAATAAGTGGCAGGTAGGCTAGTTGTCACAGTAAGTCCTGAAGAACTAGAGGGAGGTTTTTCTATCTTCCTCTTGGCGTGGACACCTATGTGGAGATATGACTTCAGTCCAAGGGCTTTATGTAGACTTTCCTCCTGCATCTGCTCTCTTTCCCAAGGGAAATTAATTTTTGTAAGTTCCTACTATGTACTAGCATCATACATACCCCCTTTCACGGCACTCGCACAACGATCTTGTCAAGAGTATATTGTGTATTGTTCTCTTTGCCTCATTTAGTCATTCAACTCTTATTTACCAAACACCCACTTCCAAGTCAGCAGCATCTCCCATCCTTCGCTCTGCTCCCACTGCACTTCCTGCATCTTCTTCCCAGTCTCTTCTGTGTTTTAGGCACTCTTTATACATCTGAGCTACATTGACAAATGGAAAGCATGGAGATTTTTGCTGCCCACAGAGCTCATTTTCCAGCAGTGTAGGGCGGAGTGTGGCAGTCAACACACAGTAAACATGGTAAGTACCACAGAAAGTGACAGGCATTTTATAGACAATGTAACAATTAATGATGCCACATGTATTATAATTCAGCATAAGTATTTTTGTGTTGCCACACAATCTTTCTGATTACAATTTCAAGTCAAGAACACATTGAATGGTTATGTCATAAATCAGTAATTTTTGCCATATATTTTATTTAGTCCCAATCTTGTCCTGGAAGGACTTCAGGGATCCTGTTCATGTGCTAGACATGTGCCTGTTTATTCTCATGTACATTTGCTGATCTTCCTAGACTGAGCACCCAGAGGGTGGGCTGGGGATAGAGGAGAGAAGAGAAAGACTTTGAATTTTTTTTTTTTTCAGAACCAGGGATTGAACTCAGGCCCTTGCACTTGCCAGGGAAGCTCTTATTCCACTGAACCATCTCCCCGGCCCATAGAGAGAAAGACTTGGTACTGCAGAGCTGACTCTGAAAACTTCACTGCTCAGCATCTCTTTGCTTCTGGATGGACTCAGCCAATAGAAGACATTTGTAGGGCACGGGAAAAGCCAAGAAAGGAAGAAGACACAAAGGACTTCTCCCTCTCCATTGCTCTGGATCATGTCCTAGTGATTAGCTGCATCTCCTACTAATCCTGATCTCTCTGGACATCCTTCCCTATGTGGTCTCAGTTTCTGGGCTCTGGTATCACCACTTCTTTCCTTTCCTTGTTGCCTCCCCCTAGGGGTAGAAGCTTACTGCCTTGGCTGATGCCTGGATTGCCCGCTTCCCTGTTACCCCACAACTCTACCTTCCCTTTCCTGGACCAATGAAGAGGCTTCTCTTTTCCAGGGCACACCATGACTCGCCCACTAAATTCCAGTTGGTTGCAACTTTTTACATAATGAATAATTATTTAATGAATACCATGCTTTTTTTCATCCTGGATTTTCTGCTTGTGATAAACACTCC